TATACAGAGAAAGCAGTTAAATTGCTGGAGAAACTCATCAGGTCTGGCAGCTTCTGTAGAGAGAGAAAGCAGAGTTAAATTGCTGGAGAAAAGCATCTGTAGAGAAAGAAAGCACAGTTAAATTGCTGGAGAAACTCAGTAGGTCTGGGAGCATGTCTGGAGAGAGAAACAGAGTTTAAGTGCTGGAAAACCTCAGCAGCTCTGGCAGCATTTGTAGAGAGAAAGCAGTTAAATTGCTGTAGAAACTCAGCAGGTCTGGGAGCATCAGCAGAGAGAGAAAGCAGAATTGAATTGCTGGAGAAACTCAGCAGGTCTGGCGGAATTTGTAGAGAAAGAAAGCAGAGTTAACATTAAAGCAGAGTAACACTTATTCAGAATGCTTCTTCGGGTCACTGGACAAGAAACATTAACTCTCCTTTCTGTCTTTACAGAGGCTGCCAGGCCTGTTGGGTTTCTCTAGAAATTTCTGTGTTTGTTTCTGAGTTGCTTTCCCTAAAGTATATTCCCATGTCCCCTGTAGCTGTTGACATTGTGTTGGTCTATCTACAGCACATAGGAAAAACTGCTGTTTAAAGGTCTTTCTGCCAAAGTATAATGAGGGGCCGTTCAGTTATCAGACCCTCTCGTTGTCTCAATGTATGTAAATAGTGTCCTGCATGAATGAGAAACACCTTTGGTTTTTGCAACAGTAAGGAATGCCAGTTATTGCTTTTCTGGATGAAAAAATATATTTTTGTAATTAAAAATACCTACAGCACATAGGCTGCTCACCACCACCTTCTCCAGGACCAACCAGGAACGTGTAATAAAAAGGCCCTGCCAGTGATACCTGAGGCCCAGGAAAACAAAATTACCCTTCTGTTCATTTCTTCTGTCCTTTGCCACCAGCCTGCCCCTGCTCCCGCTTTGCTCGTTGCTATCACCATACCCCACGGTGATTGCTCCCGTCTCCAATACTCTGTATCCCAATGAATTGATCTTTACCATGGAACCTGCTTGCAGCATCCACTCAGGTTAGTGCGTTCCAGACTTTAATCACCCACCTTTTAACTCTATGACCAAGCTTGAAAGGAGGGGAGTAGGGAGGGTACATTTTTCCCACCAACAACACAGCTAATCGAACAGCCAGATGCTGGGCTCCGGGGAATATAAAGGGTGGGGGCTGGTTTCAGGAGAGACCGAAGACTGATGGAAGAGTGGGCTAGAATCTACAAGAGGTGGTGGGGATCAGGCGGCAGGGAAGAGTTGTCTGAGAGGCCCAGCCAAGTCGTGATCACCTCTCTTGTTGGTGTTTGTTTTTGCAGAAGTTCAGATGTATGTGTGCAACAAGGAGAGATACGGTTTCACCAACGTTCCCGGCAAACCTGAAAGCACTCTGGAGGATGACAGCCTGAACTTCGTGCATCTTATGTTGGATGCCATGAGTAAGCCCAGCCTTGAGTGCGCAGTATTTTCTGACCAGTCAGGAATGCAGTGGAACAGTTGCGGTAGGCAAGGAAAAGATACAAGATCAAGCATCCACACACCTAACAGCATTAAGGCCTTGTATCCTGGTGTGAGATGTAGCAAGTGTTGCCCTGTCACTAGTCAGGGCATTGACATAGTCAAGAACACTAGGTTACTCTCATTTTCCTGCAAAAGTAGGGGAGATATGAACACTTTACTGCAAGCTTTACCAGTGGTTAATTTCCTCCCTGAGAGGTCTAGTAACTTGTGGAGGGGTTTCAGTAAGTACTGGACTGACTGGTCTTTTCTCATTTCATACTTTCTTATACTCCGAAAATAGGGGGAAGATCATAAACAAGTCCAAATAAAACCATTACAACATTTCAAGAAAGGTTTGTATTTTTAAAACCGTCACTGCCTTATTAGTTAATCCAAAAGTGCTATTTTCATTCAAAAGGGCTCTGTCTGTGCAGGTATTCAGATGCAAAACTATCCTACTGAACAATGTGCAAGTCTTAGCACTGGAAATTTTTATTTTCCCAGCATTCACAAATTGGTCTGTCGAATGTAGAATTATTATTTTACAAAAACTGAGTTTACAGAGTGCAAATCATGACCGTCTCAAAAGTGCTTTACAACTTACAAAATACGAGCTAAAGTATTTCTGTAGGACACGTGACTAAGATGTGTACACTGCAAATTCCCACACACAGCAATCTGATAATGACCAGGTATTTGTTTCTGTTGACCGAAAGAGAAATTTGGCCAGGAGTGAAATCAGATGTTTTGAGGCCACCTGAGAGTACAGACCTGAGAGCTTTGGTCCCATGTCCCCATGTCTATTCCACTAAGACAGTACTTCCAATAGTGCTGCACTCCCTCAGTGCTGCTCTCCCTTAGTTCCCTGCTATCGGAAGGATGTTGTGAAACTTGAAAGGGTTCAGAAAAGATTTAGAAAGATGTTGCCAGGGGTTGGAGAGTTTGAGCTATAGAGAGAGGCTGAATAAGCTGGGGCTATTTTCCCTGGAGCATCGGAGGCTGAGGGGTGACCTTACAGAGGTTTATAAAATCATGAGGGGCATGGTTAGGATGAAGCATCAAGGTCTTTTCCCCAGGGTGGTTGAGTACAAAACTAGAGGGCATAGGCTTAAGGTGGGAGGGGAAAGATTTAAAAGGGACCTAAGGGGCAACTTTTCCATGCGGAGAGTCATGCCTGTATGGAATGAGCTGCCAGAGGATATGGTGGGGGCTGGTACAATTACAGCATTTAAAAAGCATCTGCATGGGTATATGAACAGGAAGGGTTTAGAGGTGTATGGGCCAGATGCTGGCAAATGGGACTAGATTAATTTAGGATATCTGGTTGGCAGGGGCAAGTTGGACCAAAGGGTCTGTTTCTGTGCTGTACATCTGTATGACTCTGTGCTGCTCTCCCATAGTGCTCCTCTCCCACAGTTCTCAGTTTATGTTTTGACCCCAGAAGTGGTACCTGAACCCGAAACCTTGTCTGTGCCACCAACTGAGCCAGGGCTGATAAGGGACAGATTAAAACTTCAGCTATTAATAGGTTAGCAAAGAGCAACAACAGGAAGACAGGTGACTGAATAGAGAGCAAGGGGTGAAGGTAGTAGAAATTGGTGCTCCTGAGGGGAATATTTTTCTTGCATAACATGACCACATAAGATCTTGGTGACTTTTTGCTCTGGTGAATTAGTCTGAAGCCCATTGATGTACAAGCTCCAGTTAGCAAGTTACAACAATACAAAGAGAGAGCTTATGGCCAGCAGAGGAGGAAAGAAGGAGAGCAATGGTAATGGCCATCCCTGGCTGGTATTCATTGTACTCTCTCAGTTTCTTTCTGGAGTTGAATGAATAAACCCCTCAAATCTCCTCACTATTGTTCTTGTGTCCTCCAGGTTTTCAAGTAGAACATAGAACAGTACAGCACAGTACAGGCCCTTCGGCCCAAGATGTTGTGCCAAACTTTTACCCTAATCCTAAGGTCTATCTAACCTCCATCCCTACCTTATACTATCATCCACATGCCTATCTAATAGCCGCTTAAATACCCCTAATGAGGCCAACTGCACTACCCTCTCCGGCAATGCATTCCACATCCCTACCACTCTCTGAGTAAAGAACCTACCTCTGATGTCTCCCCTATATCTACCTCCACTCACTCTAAAACTATGCCCCCTCATAATAGCTATCTCCACCCTAGGAAAACGTCTCTGGCTGTCTACTCTATCTATACCTCTGATCATTTTGTACACCTCTATCAAGAAGTCACCTCTCACCCTTTGTCGTTCTAAAGAGAAAAGCCCTAGCTCTCTCAACCTTTCCTTGTAAGACCTTCCCTCCATTCCAGGCAACATCTGGTAAATCTCCTCTGCACCTTTTCCAACACTTCCACATCTTTCCTGTAATGAAGTGACCAGAACTGGACACAATACCCCAGATGTAGCCGAACCAGGCTCTTGTATAGCTGGAACATAACTTCACGGCTCTTGAACTCAATCCCTCTATTAATGAAAGCTAACACACCATATGCCTTCTTAACAACTCTGTGAACTGTGACCATGAACCCCAAGATCCCTCTGCTCCTCCACACTGCCAAGAATCTTTCCATTAACCCTGTATTCTGCTTTCAAGTTTGTCCTTCCAAAATGAATCACCTCACACTTTTCAGGGTTAAACTCCATCTGCCACTTCTCAGCCCATCTCTGCATCCTATCAATGTCCCTTTGTAACCTAGAACAGCCCTCTGCAATGTCCACAATGCACCTTCGTATCGTCTGCGAACTTGTTAATCCATCCTTCCAGTCCTTCATCCAAATCATTTACAAAAATCACAAATAGAAGAGGACCCAGAACAGATCCTTGTGGTACACCACTTGTAACTGAGCACCATGTTGAATATTTTCCGTCCACTACCACCCTTTGTCTTCTAAGGGTCAGCCAATTCTGAATCCAATCTGCCACATTCCCCCCTATCCCATATCTCCTTACCTTCTGCATGAGCCTACCATGGAGAACCTTATCAAACGCCTTACTTAAATCCATGTATACCACATCCACTGCTCTACCTTCGTCCATGTGTTTGGTCACCTCTTCAAAGAATTCAATACGGTTTGTGAGGCATGATCTACCCCTCACAAATCCATGCTGACTATCACGAATCAAACTGTGCCTTTCCAAGTGATCATAAATCCTATCTCTCAGAACCCTTTCCAATAATTTGCCCACCACTGACGTAAGACTAAACTGGCCTGTAATTTCCGTGGTTATCCCTGTTCCCTTTTTTGAACAAGGGAATGATGTTTGCCTCTCTCCAATCTTCCGGCACTATACCCGTGGACAGTGAGGACGAAAAGATCATCGCCAAAGGCCCTGCGATCTCTTCCCTCACTTCCCATAGAATCCTTGGATAAATCCCATCAGGCCAGGGGACTTATCTATCTTCAACTTCCTCAAAATTCCTAGCACATCTTCCTTACTAACATCGACCTCCTCCAGCCTACCAGCCTGTTTCACACTGTCCTTCTCTACAACTAGGTCCCTCTCAGTTGTGAATACCGAAGAAAAGTATTCATTACGGATCTCTCCAATCTCTTTAGGCTCCGTGCACAAATTCCCTTTACAATCCTTGATCAGCCCTACCCTTTCTCTGGTCATTCTCTTATTCCTCACATACGTGTAAAAAGCCTTGGAGTTTTCCTTGATCCTATCTGCCAAGGTTTTCTCATGCTTTTCTCAAGTAACAAGTTAATCTTGTGGAAACAGCTAGGTTTACAAGCATCAATTTAACAGGCACCATGACCATTTGGATTATGATCAGAAGCAGATATAAACAAAACAAGAACCATGGAAACGTTATTATCTCAGTGATTTTGTGCAAGTGAAGACTCACTGCATTAAGTGACACTCAAGAATTTCTTCAGGATTAAATAAAAAATTGCAGGGTGTAACAGTCTTAAATATTACCATGTTTAAACGTCAGTCGTCCAAAATCCTCTTGATTTTCATACAAGCTTGCTTTCTCCATTTTGGAAAAGCTTATCCATCTGAACAAAAGTTGTTTCTGTAAGTTACAATAGTGAGGATGAATTTCTTCTCTCAGAGGGGAATTCTGTGGAACACTTTACTGCGGAAAGCTTTCGAAGCTGGATCATTACGTAGGTTCAAGGATGAGATAGACAAATTTTTAATCAGTAAGGGAATCAAGGGTTATAGGCAACAGACAGAAAAGTGAAGTTGGGGATTATCTGATCATGATCTCATTGGTGGAGCAGACTCAGTGGGCTGAATGGCCTATTTCTTCTCCTACATCTTCTGGTCTTCTAAAGGAAGATAGACTGGCCAATGACTGCTTTCATTGAGATGTTCTGTATTTCAACATCACTCGTCAAGGTTGGGGGGGCCGTCATTTTGTTGAGATGCTTCTCCGAGATGCCATCCTTTTCGGAGGTTGCCTGTGGTTTTCTGCTCGGTTGTGATGTCATGTTAATGTACAAAATGTCTGCTTCTCCAGAGTTTCTTGCCAGTGGCTTTAAAGCCTTTTGGTCACAAGTGTAAACCTGAGTGATATCACTGGTAATGTGTCTTAGCTTGGTTTGCAATGCTTAGAATTAAGCTTCAAGCTCAGTTTCCCTTTTCGGAGCCAACAAGCAAAGCTGTTGTAACGGGAGATGGGAGTGAAACCAGGGAATGTTGGAAAAACAGGGCAAGGCTGAGCAGTGAGTTTGAATTGAAAGAGGCAAGGTAAAGATTCAGGAGCCTCCGATGACATGTTCATGCTTTCATCATTTATTGACTTAGAGAACTGTTACAGCTTAGGATGAGAGTATTTGCCTCATCGTGTCAATGATGGCTCTCTGCAAGGGCAACTCAGCTGGTCATACTCCCCCATACCACCATCTTCGCCCCCCACCCACCACCACCACCACCACCACCTTTACCTTTTAGCTCTGCAAATCTT